TAGTTTGTGCTATGACTATGTAAACACCAAAAGAAAGAGTAGACTCTCTTCTTTCATCAGGAAAAAAATTTTTTGTTTCTACCTTATTCCGTTCTTCCTCGACGTGCGTCTCACCGGCGACATGTTCTCTCATAGCGAACCGTTACCTTTTTCTTATTTGCCTACAGTCTATGCTCATCTCCCATCAAAAGTGGCACTGCCCCCTAGAGGGTCAATTTGTTACTACATACTCTGTCTAGAAGCCTGATATTTACGGACAAGCTTTAGCAGATCGTCCCCCAGACACTCTCGTTGAAAACCTTTAGACGTCTTTGGCAGCCAATGAGTTAACAAAATATGTAAAAAGAAAAAAAAGAAATACATTTTTAATATTAATAATTTATTACTAAGTCAAGATTATTTTTTGTGTAGTCTTCTGCCCCCTGTTATCAGGTGTATCTGATTGTGTAAAATAGGATTTTGAGCAAAGTTTTTACCATTAAATGAATCAAAAGGTGTCAGACGCAAAACATTTCAGAAACCGTATGAATCAAATATGATACATTTGGCATTACAGGGTTAGGCCTTTTTTAATAGAGTTAGAGGATTCCTGCTTTACTCTCAGGCTCTAGCAGCTCACGGTTGTTAGCATAACATAAATAAGTTAGCATGAATAAGTTAGCATGAATGAGTTAGCATGAATAAGTTATCATAAATAACTTAGCTTAAATAAGTTAGCATAAATAAATGGAGGCTGGTTTGTGGCAGTAATGGTGCTTTCTGTCCCTCAGAGTGACCTGTGGTCCTGTGGAATCACAGCCATAGAAATGGCCGAAGGAGCTCCCCGTGAGTATTCGCCTTTCAGGCATGTTTTCTTTTGGCTTTTTGGGGATTTCGGAGTACAGAAGAACCTCTACTTGCGAATCCTAAACATACGAATTTTCAAACGTACAAAGTGAAATTTATACAAATGTAAATTAATTTCCAACATTCGTCAAAGTCATAGAAAAAGTAAATTTAAACAAATGTATTAAGTAAATTTCCAACATTCGTCAAAGTCATAGAAAAATATATATAAAACATAAAAATTTGATAGAAATAAATAAGCGAAGTTAGTTTAAAGTTCACGTAGTGAAAGTTAGAGTAAGTTAGGGTACGTCCGTTCAACAGTCTCTGAGGTAAAGTGCCAGTAAAACCCCCTTTTTATTGATTATTTCTTTATAATTTATTTCTTTTTACATCTCTCTTATATAATCCATTTATTTTATTGCTATGTGTAATTATCCGCAGTATTTTTTAAGGAGTTATCGTAGGTTTTTGGAATGAATCATTGGAATTCCAGTGTATTATAATGGGAATATTTGAACCAACGTATGAATATTTTAAATTAAATTTAAATTCCTACGTAGAGGTTCTGCTTTAGTCTCCACAATGAAGCTGGTCAAACGGAGAGGGGGGGGTTGTTTTGGTATTTTCACCAGCTCGTTTTGGCTTTCGGAGCTCTTACGGGACACAAACCAATCATCTAATGATCTCACTGGTTTTCCGTTTATACTTTGTTTGTTTTTCCACAGCTCTGTGTGACATGCATCCAATGAGAGCCCTCTTCCTCATCCCCAGAAACCCCCCCCCTCGGCTCAAGTCCAAAAAGTGGTGGGCAAAACCTCGTTCCGTTTCCGTGCTCCGTCGGGTCCTCGTCGCCTCCTGACCGCTCCTTCTCTTCCTCCTCTTCCTCCTTTTCCTCCTCTTCCTCCTCCCACAGGTCCAAGAAGTTCTTCAGCTTCATCGAGGGCTGCCTGGTGAAGAACTACACCCAGCGGCCGCCCACCGAGCAGCTGCTGAAGCACCCCTTCATCCGGGACCAGCCCAACGAGAGGCAGGTCCGCATCCAGCTCAAGGACCACATCGACAGAACCAAGAAGAAGAGGGGCGAGAAAGGTACAGCAGAAAATAAATAAACTCATGTCCTACAGCAGGCAGTAGACTTCACTGGGCTCCATGTCGGAATACATTATATATAATGTGTTAAAGGCACCTTATACTTACTGTATTTGACTTGTACTTTAGCCAAAACTGTTTATTTATACATTTTTATATTGCCTTATATTGTAAATACGGCTAGATTTTTTTTTCTTTTTACCTTATTATGTCGTGACTACCTACCTACCTACCTACCTACCTACCTACCTACCTACCTAC